CGTGGCTTGAGTCTGGACGCAGGTGAAGTTTTTTCAAAAAAAGGCTACTTTTTTCGAAAAAACCCCTGAGTCTGGACACAGCCCCAGGGAGTGTGTCTAGACTACAGGGTTTTGTCGACAGAAGTGGACTTTTGTCAACAAAACTATACCTGCGTCCACACTGCCTTTGAGTTATGTCGACATAACGTCGACAAAACTCAGCAGTTTTGTCGATGTATGTAAACCTCATTCTATGAGGAATAACGCCTTTTATCGACAGAGTTCTGTCGATAGAAGGCATTGCATCTACACTGTCCTTTGCGTCCACACTGTTATGTCGACAAAATGGCTTGCTTTGTCGACAGAACTGGCTGCAGTCTAGACGCTCTTTGTCGACAGAAGCTTTGTCGACAGTATCTGTCGACAAAACTTCGGTTGACAAAACCCTGTAGTCTAGACATACCCAGGTAGAATAGCCAAAGCCCTAGCAAGGGAGTATACATGGGTTCATAGAAGGGAAAGAAATCCCAGAAGGTGGTCACTATTTGTAGACATGGATAACCTCCATCCTTTAATCCCCAGAAAGGGGACTAAACTGACATAGTGAGTAAGCTAGAGAGTTGGGTCAGAGAATGGCTGCCAAAGGTAAAGAGGAAGCTTAGGGGGCACCCCTCCATATCAGAGCAGGGACTAGACTAGAGCAAGCCCAGAAGAGGCTGACTATAAAAGGGGGTACTTTGGTAGCTCCTGTGAACGGTTTGAGATGTGAGCCCAAGATGGCCCTGCAGGGACTGTAATAGGCCCTGTTGGACTTGTGCCCTGGAAGGGGTCTGTTATGTTGCATAAATAGGATCTGTGTGTGACTTGTCCAGAGGGCTGAGTCAGTTAAAACCTGCATTGTCAAGAGGATTTACTACAGGCAAGCGGCGCAAAACAGAATACAGGCACTCACTGGGCCAGCAGGAGGTGCTCTCTGGCCCCATCCAAGTCACTCACCTGAAATTCCACAAGAAAGGAGATTTTCAGGGGCAGGAAATCTTGACACCCTTTCACATTATATTTCCTGCAGACATTTTGATAAATGTTTCACAGGTAAAGTACATTGAGGGAGGAGGTGCAGGGAACAGCTGGCACCAATAAATGCAAACAATTCACAAACACAGGTCATTAAAGGTTTGGGGGATGTCAGGTGAGGAAATTAAAGCTGTCCCTTGCTTTTATTATGTGGAAAATTATCCAAATAGCAATCCTAGATAATCTTTATGTAAAAATATGCTCCTCTTAAAATATCTGCAATTCACCAAGCAGAGACAAGCTTCCATTCAGCTTTGGGCAGTCTTATCTTTCTACTAATCATCATGATTTCATGGATATTATTTTATCCCAATCCCATTCAGTGATCTAATCTTATTTCTCATTTGTGAATAAATCTTCTTGTGTCTCTCTTACGATGTCCTAAAATGTTGATAGGGTGCAGGGATAGGATTGCACAATCTTATCTTTTAGCTTATAAGAGTTTCTTCAGGATTTCAGTGTCAAAGAGAAAATGGCACTGCACTTGCAGTTCTGTATTGTTTAATGACCATCTGCACTTGCAGTTCTGTATTGTGATGACTAGAATTGATTGCCCTTAGAATAGAATGTAAAAGAGAAAGAGTTTAGTGCCTTTGCATCATTACCCAAGAATGTGCATTAGCACAAACAAAAAAATATGGAGCCAGTCTCTTTCAGTATACCGGAAGTACAAATATCAGGATCCTTGAAATCAGTCATCTTCTGAGTGCTGTGCACTGATGAAAGCCTCACTCATGTGTCTAACCACATTGCAGATGTTTAGTCGGTATTATCATCTGATAAAACAGCACTTTAAATGCTTCTTTCCCTAAACAAAAACCATGTACAAAAATACAATACCTATTTGAGAAGACAGCTGTGAGGACTAATTGTTTAATAGTTGCTCAGAACTCTAATAATGGCATATGTTACCAAAAGGATCAGCGGGGAAAAATAATGGAATATTGGTGAGCAGCAGAAATTCCAGCAAGATAAAGAGCAAAGGTGGCAAAAAGAACAAAGAGAATCAAGGAAGAAATAGAAAGAGTAGCAGGGTTACACAATGCAAAATAGGATGGAATAACCATGAGAAAGAGATGATAGAGAAAAGGAGGAGATGCTATTAAAGGAAGAGAGAACAGTGATAATTGAAGGGAGATTAATAGAATATGTTGGACATGAAAGTACCAAAACCTCCCACCTGTTTTGACAATCTTCCCTTTAAAAAGGTTAATCAGTGCGGAGAATTCTGATTCCCGTGCAAACTGCTGGGCACCTCTTCAGAAGAACAGCAGCCTCAGAGCAACCCCTTTATATTCTAAAAGCGAGACTACATGTTGAGAGGGCCATATAATCATCTTACTGATCCTCCCCCAAATCCTCAGGTTGGTCCTGTGCATGATGATGAAATCACAATGGAGAGGCTTTGTAAAAGGAAGTGAGTGAAAAATTATTCTGCAGGCTGATTTCAAAATGTTAAACTCGGCCACTAACATAAAAGATACTTCTCTGGGTTAGTAATTACCAAATACACCCTGATGATACCAGGGTGCATGGTGACATGAAAACATCTCCTGGTTGTTCTCAGCAGTGAGTGCTGTAGTATCTAATATGTTGTAAGTATGTTTCTAGGCTGTAATCCAAAGAAGAAATCTCCAAAGGAAAAAGGAAGCCCCAAAAGACTGTTTTCATAGCAGCTTGCTTACCAGCTGAGCTCTATTTGTTCTGGAGATGAGAAGGAATTCCATAAGTCTATGTGTACTTAAAGAGGAAAACCATCTCAAAGGTTGTGTATAGCCTAGATCCAGCTTTTGCTCTACTTTGTCCTGAGACCATGTCTTCAGAAGGTTTTTGGCATGGGTTTTAATAACTGATGTGTTATTAGGGGCCCAAGATGGAGGTGGAAGGTAGATGAAAACTCCAGAGCACTGCTGGGTATCCCGAAGGTACTTAGGTGCCTAAACTCCCAATTTAGGTATCTAAATCAGTGTTTAAGTTCCTAAGCCCGTTTTATGGTCCACTGTGATTCACAGAACTCTGACCAAACTCTGTAGGCACCTAAACTTGCTTGGCATCTAAGTTTTCAGGGTAAACTTTCTCTAGGTAATTAATTTTCTGCTTTTGAGCACACTCACTGTTACCTCACCGTAGGCATCCAGATGCCTATTTTTTCCCTAAGCCCCACAACAATTCATGAACCAAGAAAAATAGGCATTTGGCCTTCTAATTCACATGAAGGGTCCAATCCAGGAGGGGTGCTCTTATGCTATCTTCTGGATTAGCTCCCACTCAAAGTCTGCCCAGAGAAGACGACGATAGTGGTATTAATCATCACATAACTTTTAGCCCAATGTGTTTGGGTAGCTGACTGGGATTTGGGAGATCCAACTTCAGTTCTCCTTTCTCACTGATGGGGAGAAAAGATTTGAATAGGGGTCTTTTATGTCTCAGGTGAATACCCAAGCCACTGGCTATAGGATTTTGTGGCCTTAAACTCTGTGATTCTAATCGCACTTCAATTATTCATTGCAGAACAGAGTTAACAGGAGAGATTGAGGATAATTTACATCAGGCCATCCCATAGCTTAGTGGTTAGAATATACTCCTGGCAGTTTGGAGAGGCCTGTTCAAAACTTTTCTCCCCGGCAGAGGGGAATTGAACTGAGTCTTTCACATCCCAGGCATGTGAACAAGCAGTTATAAGGTGGGCATGCCAGCCACCACCTCCAGCTGCTTTATGCAGTGTGGGGTGCCTGTCTAACATATTTGCACAAGAAGCAGCATAAGTGCCTAACCACATGACTCCAGGAGAGGGGTTCCCATCTGGGAATCATTAGCAAAGGTAGGCTCCCTGCAGCCTGACAGTAAGTGCCTACATTCATGAAAGGGGTGGGGCTTAGATGCCCTTCACTAACATCCCCCATTGTCTAGCCAAGTCAGACCCTTGCCTGCTGGGCTGGCTTTTGTGAATTTCATTTTAAGGCATCATGTTTTCCTCTTTCCTGGCAGAGGGTGCATAGGTGCATAACTAAAACTTGGTAGTTTGCTTTATCTTCCTCTAATTTTCTAGATGCCTAAAAGTTGAGTATTGTAATGGTCAGTGGCAGTGTGCCAATGTATCTGTGCCAATCTGAGCCTATGTGACCATTCAGCACAGTGGTGTAGTGAGGCTGGAATGGCCTTCCAGCAATTAAACAGAAACGAAATGGCATCCTCTTTGCAGCCTCATGGAGGATGCCATTTTGTAGAATAAAATGGTGTCCTCCACACACTGGGACCTCACAAGCACTGTATCTGTGAGATCATGCTAGTAGGGGCAGGATGCCTGTACTTCAAAAAATCAGGACTGCTCCCTTGCTCAGCACTGAGGTATCCAGCTCAAGGGCTATGAACCACTTAAGTGCTCCCTATTTTGAGGATTTAAACAGTGAGATGTACGTGCTTGTTGAATTTGTGCTAGCCTTCTGCATAGGAATGAGTTCCACTTAAAAAAAAATCTTTAACATAGTTAATCGTACTTCAGGAGATCTCAATTTGGGAATGACAGACTGGTGTCAAGAGTTTGTGACCATACTGTCCTTTCCACATTGCTACGTAGGCCCTAGTATTGAAAAGGGGGTAGTGATCTGAGCACGATTAAGAAGAAATCTCCTACCCTAAGACTTCCTGTGTTGGATAGAGAAGGCAAGTATTCAGGTTAACTCCATTTTCAGTGTATTTGTGTTGTCTCCAAACCAGTCAATATTGCCACTGATCATAGTCTGCCTAGTGTTTGTAAGTCCTATGAATGCCAAGACATGCTGTGTACAAGAACAGAACTAATGTAATGTTTATTAGCAAATGTTTTGTCTTGTCCTTTCTTGAATAACATCCCTGTATAAATAAAATGTGGAACTCCAGCTGCATATTTATTTCATGGCATTATAGTTATTTGTTTGTGGTTTTCCTTTTTTTTTCTTTATACACAGGGAAGAATGAATCAGATACACAAAGAAAAAGCAAAGCAGTGCTGAAGGATCACAGAGAGTGTGTCTAGTCTGGCAGCTGGCATGGCTGTTTCTCTAAGGAAAAAGCTGAGAAGCCACAATGACTTGCTGACTCTCGTGCTTGACTGGAAGTTGGTGATGCAAACCAATCAAATACAAATCTGTTACAGAAATCTTAATATTTTAATGCATTCTTATGAAATTCTCATGTTTTACTTAAATCTCAACCTTTGGATACCTACATGTGTGATTATTGGGAGCTTACATGTATAAGGGTCATATGGGACCTCAATCCCCCTGGCTTTTATGGGAGTTCAGGGTGCTTAGAACCTCTCAGGATAGGGCAGTAGATGGAATCATTTTGGCAAAGTGCTGAGTGTCTTCAGCATCAGCTGGAAAGTGTCATACTCATCCCAGATTTTTAGGCACTCGGATGTTGGAAGGATTGTGCCCTATGGCCCTAATTCAGCAAAGCACAGGAGTGAAGGTAGTATCTGCTTATGTGAACAGTCTCTTTGAATTCCAGTGTATTCTCTGCATGCTTACATGCTTTGTTGGATCAGATTCTGTATGTGCCCACAAACTGGTAATAATGAATGCAGACCACATGCTGATGTGTCCAAAGTGAGTAAGTGCATGTTATTAGTATTCATGTACCTATTTGTAAGTACGAGTAGCTGTCTGCACATGCAGATACATTGGATGTACTTGCACATGATAAACTGGGGTGTAAGTGAGTGTCTACAGTTCTACTTCAATGGCTTACTCATGTTCTTAGTGAATTCAATAACAAAACTCCCATTGATTGAATGGGAGCAAAATTGGATACTAAATTACATAACTGTCCCTCTTAATGTAATGTGCTGTCTTGTTTCAATAACTATTTTGCAATCTTTATTTTATTTTATTTGACCTAATCTTTAGAATGTGCTGATCTCTACAGTGATTAGGCTCACAGTAATTTCAGAAATTCTTTGAGGGAAGGTATAAGGCTAATATAATAAGGAAACCCATGTCAGATTAATTTCATGTGCATTTTTAGATTATGATTAGCAATAGATGACAAGTTGGCATGGCAACATTTGCAGCTTTACTACTAGTAAGTGCTCTTAAAATAAATCTGTGTCATATGTGGGTTTCTTGCCGTTAGTGTACTGTACCCCCTGAAGAGAAGCTGCACATATATCATTTGCAAAACATGCATACAATTAGCCCCAGTTCTTATTTTTGAATGAAGTGTTAAACTAAGACATAATGCAGGTTTCCTGCCATTTATGAAATCTCTCATTATGAAATACAAATGTTGATAATGACCTTGTCCATTGTTTTAGCATCTCAGGCTTTCAGCCATTCACTTGATGTAAAAAAGTGATTAGTATAAGGAATATAGATTGTGCTATGCTTCTTTTGTGGCACGTCACATTCACCTTTCTTATATTGCACACCTCCTAATATCAGAAGTGTCTTCCAGTATTATAAAAGCCTATTAGCTCCTTAAACTAGTAGATGGGTGGATCATTCTGTGTGTCGGGAGATTTGGAATTGAAATCTCATCTTTAGCTCAAATTATTATAATAAAGCATCAACACTATTAATGTGAGTTTGTGGATTGTGGTTAGGCAGGGAGTATAATGATTTTTTTCCCCCGATTACCTTGCAGTGAGCAGAAAAAAAGGTGTCTAGTTATAGAATTTGTTCAGTTCAAAATGTTTTCACTAAGCAAACTTTGTGCAGGACAGGACAACTATTTTTGCCTCTCTCTTTAGTAGTCTGACCTGCTTATATGTGTGATAAATTCAAGAAGGATAAAATAGAACACCTGTATTTGACAAGGTGCTGTTTTTCTTGTGTATGGTAAACTGCTTCTTAGTCTGCAGAACTGGGTGTTTGGGTTGACTTGATTTATATACATAATATTTTCTCACCAAATTAATTGCAATTAAAATATTAAGATACTGCTAGTAAATCCTTTTATGTAAATGCACCTCTTTCTTCTTACTTTGAACAAAATACACCAAATTGACAAATTGGAGCTTTTTACATATATAATACAGTTTATTTCTTAAATCACTTATTACCATACCTTCGACTGTGTAGAGCATTGCAAGATGTTAAAATATAACTCACGACATTTCTAATCTACTAATGGTACTTGCATCACCTTGGAAAATTGTATTCTGTTATTTGCATCAACGAAGTTGACAGATGCAGAAAGCAGAGTGATTTATCACTGAATAATAATTATATGAAATATATGCTAATACAATTGCCTAGGAAATATTTTATATACATGGTATAATTCTCAAAATAAAGCTCCTATTCAGGCATCATTGATTTTTTTGGTCTGTGGCCTTTAACAAGTGGCAAGTTTCAACTATATTTCATAAACTGAAATATAGTTGCAGAGCGCTGTATTTATAGTATGTAGACGATGGATTTTAATATTTTTAATTTGCATTGGTGGGAAAAACATGTGCATGTTGGCTTTTGCAGGTAATCCTCTGGAAATTCTTTAGTGCCTTAAGGATGCAGAGGGGGAACAGACCTTGGGATTATAGTAAGTTGTTCAGACCTCTTTCCTGCTTCACTAGAATTCCTTTATGACAGTGGTCACCAACCAGTTGATTGGGATCTACTGATAGATCCTGGAGCATCTGACAGGTGATCCTGACTGGTTTGGTGGGAGGCTGTCTTCAACTGCCTCTCCCCCCATGTTGTGCTGCTCCTGCCCTGTCATGGAGCTTCCGCCAGGAACCTCCTGCTTGCTGTGCAGGGTGGAAGAAGTGGAGGAGGGGGCACTGAAGTCAGAGTGTCCCCCTTTTCCTTTCCATGCCCCCCATTTCCACAGAGTGAGCAGGGCAGGGCCCTGGAGAAAGGATGGTGTAGATGCAGGGCCACAGGGAAGAAGGCAGGGCAAGGGTATCTGGGTTTGAGGTAGATCCGGGAGTGATGTGCTTAAAAAGGTTGATCTTGTGCTTAAAAAGGTTGAAGACCACTGCTTTAAGACATAGTGTGCCTTGGACTCCAAGCATATTTGCATTATAATAATACCTGTAGACATGGTATTGTTGTCAGGAATTTTTGTCCCTTTACATATCCTAGGTTACAGAATCTACTGCTGTTTCCAAAGTACTATACAAAATTAAAACATCTAATTCAAATTCTACCAGTGGAATCCATGATATAAGTCATTATCAGTCAATTAGGAATGTTAAAGTTGGAGTCAAACCAGCAAAGAAAGTTTAGCTTATCTCAGATGTGCTGCATAAATCCAGCTTCTATTGAAGTCTATGGGTGAAGATTTCACCCTGACTTTTACTTGAGCATAGGAAGTGTAGCACATACGATAGATAAATATCTATCACTGCCTATGCACAGCAGGGACAAAATGTGATCAAAGAGAAAGGAACTAAGGAAACAATAGAGGCTTGACTTGATGTAGAGATGTTACTGTCTGTGGTGTAAATCTATACTCACTATTGTTTTATGTTGCATGGATTCTTGCAATGTTAATATGACGTATAAATGTAAATTGCAATGAGAGGAGTAATTGTACATGTGCAGCAGCTGATTTCCAAATATAAATATGTCAGCATCCAACTGTTTAGATTTGTTTTTCTATGTTGAGAGAGATTAATTTATATTAGGTGAACTTTGCTTCTTTGCAGAGAGCTTACACAATGCCTTAGGCACCACTAATTAAAAGTTTTAAGTGGATCTTAAGTGGTCTTGTGTGGGGTGAATTTCACTCATTATGGATTAAGGGTTTGGATACAGACAGGAACAAAAAATAAAGCCTCCAAAAGTTGTTATCTTCTGCTTCCTGTGACTAAAAAAGGAGTTGGAAAATGTGTAAATAATATTACTCCTTGGCTTATACTCTAAATGCCAAGATTCAATGTGGCACAGATTTTGTAGCTTGTTTATAAATAAGGCTTCTGGCTTTTGTTTTGAAAATATGAAGCTAGTATAAACTAAAGAAAAGAGTAAAGACTTATAAGTATTTGTTTGGATTGAAAAGGATGGATATTTTCTCATGTCTTGGGACCAAACTTAAACTGAGAACCTTGGATACACAAAATATGGATGAGAGGCCTTTGAGCTGCACCTCCATATAAGTATCAGCTTTTCATCCGTATAACAGTGTGATGTTAACTAGGACTCATGAAAGCTGTTTGTTAGAGAGACAAATTAGAACCAGTTTGAAAATGTGCCCAAGAATGCACAAAAAAACGTGGGCTTCATAATTTGATATATATTACTCAAAAATTTCAGCTGGATCCTTTTTTAAAATTGTTGTAAATAAATGCAAAAAGCTTGACACTGTTGTTTGTAAACCCCTATTAGTGGGGATTAAAATGGAACAGCTTATTGATTTCACTTGAGTAACATAAAAGACGCCATTATCTTTTTTATCTTGTTTTACATTTTTCAGCAATGAATTTCATTTTAGGACATTTCCTACATCTAACTAAATGTACATATATGTTAATTTCAAAGTAACAGGAGAGGAGACAGACAACATTGTAATGAAGTCACAAAGTCTCACTTCTGATTATTGCAGATTTGTAACTATCACTTAAAATTGTGTAAAATATGTTGACATTTTATCTTGTTAACCAGATGTATTTTTCTATGTTAGTTAAAGGTATAATTTGCATAATTTTGTATATTCAAATGTATGCATATTTTAAATTAAAGACTTCTTTAAAACATTTAATTATTAGTTATTCATTCCAGTGTGGTAATAGAACTTTTGAAATAGTATCAGTATAAATAAAACTCTAAAAAACACTTGATTTTGGCAGGGAATTTGAGCCTGGTACTCTACAGTAGGGAACTAAGTGCATAATATGTAAATGCTTAATTTGATGTGTGGTGACTGACAAAGTGAAGCACAAGGGTAAGTCTTAGCGAGATAAGATTACTGACTGGACAAAAAGTAAAACATGAATTTAAGTCTTTGCAGAGCTTGAGGATCTAATTATAGGACATTTCTTGGAGATTCAAAGTAATGCCATAGACAAATTCTGTTGTGATGAATTCCCACAGTAAGCAAAGTGTCCAGCACTGAGCAAGAACAGTTCCATAAGATTTAAATGTTTAAGTTCTAAACATGATTTTAAAGTCCAGGAGAGAGGAGAACAGCACAAGTCCTCTGAAATTATGTTATGATCATAAATTTTGCCTTGATTGCTGAAGAGTATTACAGTTAAAACAGAGGATCTGCTGATGTATGTTTAACCAATAGTCAGGCTTTTTAGGTGATAAAAATTATTTTTAAACTAAGCAAACCTGCTTATATGTGTTACTTCAATTGCCTATCCTCCAGTACCCAGCCTTCTCTAAAATGAAACTTATTAATTGGTAGTAATGGTAAATACACATGTAGATAGGAGATCCATTAGTAGCAGAAACATAGTGAGCATGTTTCCTTAAATTCTGCCTCTTTTTTTCCAGACTGTCTTGAGACCAAATTAGAAACAACATCCATAAGAGAATTTTATGAAAATGCTATATTTAAATGAACTGACATCATACCACACACTTTTCTAGAAGAACTCCAGAGACTGAGGGGGCAACTGAGAACCAGATTGTGACTTGTATTTGGTTTCAAGTTTTTTTTACAAAGCCTGCATTTTAGAGAACAGGCATGTAAATATCTGAGCATTTAGAACACAGTTATTAATAAAATAAAATTTCAAGGAGTTTAGTTTTATGAAGGATTTTCATTTCTAAATAATTAACAATTTTGACAGTATTATGTGCCCTGGATTTTTTCCTCTGAAATATAAACATTGTTTCTTATTTTAAAGCTAAGGGCCTAGTAAATCAACAACTTGTTTAATGCTATATTTTATAATGGTGCAATAGTACATTATTTGTTACTATGGACCAGGGAGAACTCCCATTCTCATCTGAAAATGTTAGAAGATAAGTCAAAAGGTGTGTACTGTTCACTTCCTAAGTGAGAACAATTCTAAAAGTCTGAATGGTTTTAACCAATCACACATACAATTGAGGACATACCTTGTGCCTTTAGGTGATTTTAGAAAAATAAAAATATTCACCTCTCTTTCTGGTTAGCCCACCAATGGTAAATACGTTTTTTCTGGAGGTCTAATTTCCTCTCCTGACTAGCATATGAATTAGAAAGGAAACAATTACACCTTTACACTTTACTGGGGAGCTTTCCTAAGATCTATGAAGAAGACATTCAGAATGTACCTAATAGTATACCCATTAACCTCATGTTTTACTGAATATTAACATTTATTATCCATGTGAGTAATATACTGATTTTGTTCACCTTGCTCAATAAGCCCTGATGCTACCATAGACAATAATCAATTTCGGCCAATAATAAAAGATAAGTATTTCAGTAAATCATGGCCTAGAAATAATTTTAATTATTTTCTCACAAACCTGGGAATATATTCCACAGCATAGGGCATTAATAGATGCAACTCTTATTAAAGCCAGCTCTGAAGATATGGGAGTATGTTTGTCTATCTCACTCCTTCCCATGTGATTGGCACAATCAGTTGGTTAACAACTGTCAGTTCACTATCAGCAGTGAATACTCTAGCTATACAATATAGTCAATTTCCCAGTCCTCAGGAGAGAAATATTATATCTGGACTAGGTATGTTGTATCACTACCTCCTAAACATTTTCAAGCTATGGAAATGTGTATATATAAGAACACTACTTTCATGAATGAACCTTCTTCCCAGACTGCTATGGGGCTTCTACCATTAACTTCAATTAGAGGGGACATTATATCACCTCTACTCTTCCACTCTCCTATGGCATGTGGAACATTTGGTCTTGGATTGTTTTCAGTTTGTGACCCACTAGAAATGGCTTGCTTGGCCTTAGACAAATAAAGGGTTTATTTGTTGTGGTTTGTTGTATAAAAGCAAACCTCTACGGTTTTCTTGCATGTGGGTAATAAATAGCTTTTGTGATTAACTGCTTCAGCTTCACTTAGCCTGTTCATCAATCTCAGCAGCATTTTGTGCCAGTGTATTATCACAGAGCCATAGAGAATATCCCTTAGGCAACTAACTGCTGCAGTACAAAAGGCATTTCCCAAGGTTTATGTAAACTGCTTTGAGTGCCAGAAAAAAATATAATTGTTTTAAGTTGCTTTCCTTAAACCACATTTGGAATTGAAATCTACTTAAGGAAGTAAAGGACTTTTTGAACTAATTTGCATAAAGCAGCGACAGCTTTACATGAATGCTTTGGAAACCGGGGTCATAATTCACGGCACTGGCAGTTAAAAAAAAATCGTTACCCGAATAAATTAGTCATGGTTATTTAAATATGACCCAATTCATCCTCGGTATGAGAAGGTGCAAATCCATTCAAATGCTGTGTGTAAAGTAGTTGGGAATGTGGCGGTGTGGGCGGATCTACCTGGTTGCAAGCCCAATGGTGTTTTTTTCTATTGCTGGCTCAGACCCCGCACGGCTTAAGAACAGACGCTTGCTCAGGGCAAGTCCGCTTTACTGCAGTGCGATTCTATCCACGCTCTGGTTCTCTACGGACAGCACAGCTGCACTTGGGCCTCTGGGCCGCGAATCTTGCCGGGCCCCAGCCTGGGGCCTGCAGCTGGGCTGGGCATTGAGGTGCTGAAGGGACAGCCTCCTGCCCCTCCAGCCTTTTGTCAGCGCCCCTCCCCGCCCCCTTCCCTGGGGCAGTAGTGCAGGCGCGGTCTCCTAGCGCAGTAGCCCGGCCGCTCCCTGCAGAGCGCTGCTGGCGGGGAGGATTTGCAGCACAGTTCGCCCCAGCGCCCGTGCGATTACTTCCGTGTCAGGGGCTGGCAGCGGCGGCTGCTCCCTCCCTGGCACCCCTCA